TCAACACAAATCAGGTTCATCATTCTGCTGAGCTGCCTATGTCTCTCACCAGTGCTCAATATAATCAACTGATTGCTCTCCTAAATAAAGACAATCTTTCAGACAGAGATGATGGTGGAGTTCCTGGTTTTCTTTCCAGTCACATGGCCTCAAGTGGTCACTTAGCAGGTATTAGCCATTGTTTCTTTTCTTCATATGACAATACAAAATGGATCATTGATAGTGGAGCCTCAGATCACATTAGCCCACATTTGACTAATTTCTCTTCATACAAACCCATTTCCAAACCCTGTTCCATCACCATACCCTATGGCCAAAAAGCCAGTGTGCTTCATATTGGAAATGTGAAGTTACCAAATGGAATTGTACTTTCTGATGTACTTCATGTCCCAGACTTCCATTTTAATCTCCTTTCTGTCCAAAAATTGGTTTCACAGCTGTCTTGTTCATTGATCTTTTATCCCTCCCACTGTTTGATTCAGGATCATGCGAAGAAGAATACTTTGCTGGTTGGTGAACAACATGGGGGTTTATACTTTGTGCAGCAGCTCACACCTCCAGTTTCACATGTCTCTTCCACCTTTCCTTTGTCTTGTATGTCTGTTAGTGAGCTCTGGCATTGTAGATTGGGGCATTTTCCATCCAATAGAATAAAACACATTGTTCAGTTGCCTTGTATTGATTCTTCATCTTCATCTGTATGTCATGTTTGTCCTCAAGCACGTATGCATAAACTTCCTTTCATTTCCAGTTCGATAAAAACAACTTGTGTTTTTGAAATGTTACATGTTGATATTTGGGGACCATATAGAACTGCAACTTATTCTGGTCATAAATTCTTTGTAACCATTGTGGATGATTTCTCAAGAATTACTTATGTTCAACTGATTTCCCACAAATCCAATGCTTTCTCAGCCCTAACCAGTTACATTGCTTACATTAAGAAGCAATTTAATGTTCATGCAAAGGTCATTCGTTCAGATAATGGGAGAGAATTTGATGATACCGCAGCCCAAACTTTTTATCAAACCCATGGGATCATCCACCAAACCACTTGTGTTGACACACCTCAACAAAATAGGGTTGTGGAAAGGAAACACAAACACCTTCTTGAAACAGCTCAAGCCTTATTTTTTCAGGCCAAACTTCCTACTAAGTATTGGGGAGATTGTGTCCTGACAGCATGCTATCTCATAAACAGATTCCCTCTCTCTCTCCTCAATGATAAAAGCCCATTTGAAATACTTTTCAAAACTCCACCAACATATGATCATCTCAAATCCTTTGGGTGTCTCTGTTTTGCTACCACTTTGGCATCTCACAGAACCAAATTTTCCCCTAGAGCCATGCCTTGTGTCTTTCTTGGTTATCCATTCCATAAGAAGGCTTACAAACTTCTTAATCTTCAAACCAGGCAAGTATTCTACAGCAGAAATGTGAAGTTTCATGAGAATTATTATCCTTTTCATAATCTCTCATGTTTTTCTTCCTCTTCCATTCTTCCTAACCCCCCTCCTATTTCCTTTGAAATTTTCTTCCATTCCACACATGATACTGACATTCCATCTTCTCTTCCACATGATGCCATTTTTCCTTCCACTCCTATACAGTCAGCCCCTTCCTCTTCTCCTGATCCCTCCTCTCCCTCCACCACAACCTGTCCTCCACATTCTTCCACACCTATTCCTCACCTTTCAGTTCCTACCCAACCTAGGGTTTCAACAAGGCTCAGGAAACCTCCTTCCTACCTTGACCAATACAGCTGTTCTATTCTTTCTTCTAATTCCAAATCTCTAACATCTCATTGGTGCAACTTTGTTCATCTTAATCACCTCTCCCACAATCATCAAGCTTTTCTCACCCACCTTTGTTCCTACACTGAACCTACTTCCTATTCTGAGGCTTCCCAGGATCCTAGGTGGATTGTTGCTATGAATGAAGAAATAATGGCTTTGCAGGCTAATGATACTTGGGAACTTGTTGACCTTCCTCCTGGAAAGAAGGCTATTTCTAGCAAATGGATTTATAAAGTAAAGCTCAAATCTGATGGCAGTTTAGAAAGGTTTAAA